CTCCTCCTCCTCCTCCTCCTCCTCCTCCTCCTCCTTCTCCTTCTCCTTCTTCTTCTTCGGTAATTTTCCTTACTATCTGACCATGGCATCTATTCATCTTGGCCATTTTAGTCATATTCTAAGCCCATGAATTGCTTTATTAGCATAAAAAAGTGAGTCCAAGAGCAGGAAAAAAATGTTATAAGAGTTAATAACTATGAAGGTCTTTACATTTTTCCCCAACAGATATGGTTTTAGGGCTTGGCTGAAAGGATCGCTGCACTGAATGTGTAGGGATCAGCCTTGAGAAAAAAGAAGTGTGGTACAGATTATCTCCAGAACATTAATTTCTCCACCTTTGTATTTCTGCATTTTCTACCTGGGTCTTACCTGAGCCAGGTTCTATATATGCCCCTCCCTCATTCCCATGAAGTCCTGCTCCCAGGAAAGATTCTGATGAATTTACTCACAGTGACATGTCAAGGATTCATATTGTTTGATTCCTGTTGTTAGGATTTGAATATGAAGTTTCCCTAGAGGTAATACTGTTTTGGGAAATCATGGAACCTCTAGAAGTTGGGTAATAGCTAGAGGGATTGGACCACTTGAAGAGTGGGACTTTGATCTTGGCCCCTTTTCTGGCTTAAAGCTTTCTGTTCCTGACTCACCAAGATGTATACAAGCAGCCTCTACCATAGCTATGAACTACCACGATGAACTCCACCATGCCTTTTCTGCCACGATGGACAGTGCCATCTCAAACCATGAGGCCAAATAAACCTCTTAAGTGTCATATTTTAGGTGTTTCATCATGGTGACAGGAAAATTAACTAATATTCTGGGTGAAAATAGTAAAGGTTGCCTAAAAAGGGAACCAAATCTGATTTCAAGCTCAGTTATAGGAATTTACACCTAAGAAAGGTTGACAGAGTTGGGAAATGGCCTAAAAGTTACTGTACACTTTTATTATTGGCTGATTTGAGTAGTCTTATGGCTGGTTAGCTCTTGGTGGGCAAACTGGAAAGTTAGTTACACTAAACAAGGTCAGCTGCCAATGTGACCATCTAATGCCACTTGAATGCTTCTGTAAATGATGACATAATACACTCCTAGACTTTTAAGCACATCAGGTGTCTTAACTGATGTTACCTGGTGTTTTGTGACACTATTCCTGGGGAAATGTGAACAAGTGTCTACTTCCCCCAAACAGGGCAGACCCAATTAAAGACAACAAAATTGATGAATCAATGAATTTTATTGGGTCTCACTAAGGAATACAGCTGAGGGGTTACTCACAGGAGAAATGACTCAAAGATAGCTATATCACCAAAGCCCATGCCAACATGGGTCACTGTTTACAAACGCTGAAACCCTGGAGCTCACTGCACAGCATACAGATAGCTTGGCAGGTTGGAGTGTTTTTTTTGTTTTTTTGTTTTTTTTTTTCAGGTAGTTCAGGTAGTCCAAGGCTCCTCTAGGCATCTTGTTTTGTCTGAGAGTGCCTCTAAGCAATCCTTACTGCATAGTACAACTGGTCAGTTTCAGGGACTTCCTGAAGACTTTGAGCTGTTTGGTCCTCTGCAGGAAGGAATGCATCACCACTACCTCCCCATTAGAACACCATGTGCTTTAAGGAACTTTGTGGTGGTATTGTGTTCTTCAAAATATTGTGTACCCTAATAAACTTATCTGGGGTCAGAGAACAGAAAAGCCACTAAATACTTAGGATAGGCAGTGGTAGCACACGCCTTTAATCCTAACATTCCAGAGGCAGAAATCCATCTGTTCAGCCGGGCGGTGGTGGCGCACGCCTTTAATCCCAGCACTCGGGAGGCAGAGCCAGGTTGATCTCTGTGAGTTCGAGGCCAGCCTGGGCTACCAAGTGAGCTCCAGGAAAGGCGCAAAGCTACGCAGAGAAACCCTGTCTCGAAAAACCAAAAAAAAAAAAAAAAAAAAAAAAAAAAAAAAAAAAAGAAATCCATCTGTTCAAGGATACAGCCAAGCATGGTGATTCACGCCTTTAATCCCAAGAAGCGAGCCTTTAATCCCAGGGAGTGATGGCAGATAGCAGAAAGGTATATAAGGCATGAGGACCAGAAACTAGCAGTGTTTGGCTGGTTAAGCATTTGGCAGGGTAAGCTTTTAGGTTTTGAACAGCACAGTTCAGCTAAGAGTCATTGGGATGAGGACACAGAAGCTTCCAGTTTGAGGAAACAAGATCAGTTGAGAAGTTGGCCAGGTGAGGTTAGCTGTGGCTTGTTCTGTCTCTCTGACCCTCCAGCATTCACCCCAATACTTGGCTTCAGGTTTGATTTTATTAACAAGACTCTTTAAGATTCGTGCTACAGAACTTCTCTCCAAGGTTCAGGTTTATCTTGAAGTAAATTGCTACACAACACCTAGCTAGTGCTAGAGTGCCCCTGCTTGCCTAGTAGAGCTTCAGAAACACAACTGTAAGAAGTGCTTACCCAGCCATAGGTCTCTTGGACATCAGCTGCGAAGACGGGGCCAGTGAAGTTCTTTCTGTAGGGCTTTGTCACACAGGGATTTCTAAATAAAACCAAGCCCAAGAAACCAGAGGAGTGAACCAACTTCTGCAAACTTCTCAGGCATAACAGGACCCTTTTCAGACGCTGTATCCTTTTTTCCTCTATCAGCCCCTGCTCTATTGGGCTGAAAGCCAGCAGCCAGTTGAATCTGTAGCAGGCTCAGTGGCTATGAGCTCTTGATGGAAACCTGGCAGTGAACTGTGACCAGAGTGTAGCTGGCAAAACCTGACTACTCCATCTGAGAGGCTGTTTGCAAAGTCTGTGACAAACTGAGAGGGGCTCATTACTCTGGAGTCAGGAAAATGAATTTAAATCCTATCTGCTTCTAAGCATGTGGTGTGGACAGGTTCCTTTTTTTTTTTTTGACAAACAGTGGTGCTACTTATCAATGACACAGGAATACTTATCTCTATCATGGATTTACCAGGGATTGTTCTGAACATCAGCTAAGATCCTGGCCCAATGCTAAGATCATGGCTCCAGTCTCCTGGAAGGGTTGCAGACAGTCAGCTGACGTGAAGGATGAAGAATAGGACATAGAAGATTTTGACTGATTTTCTCTGTAGTCTGTGAACCCAGGCAGAGAAGCTTCTTAAGAAAACTGCTCTGGCCCCAGATGAGATTTCCAAAGAGGAGACCCTTGGGCTGAGTATTAGACCAGATTGTGGAGGGGAAATTGATAAAAACTACAACTGACAGGTCACAGACTTCAACATTTATTGACTCCAGCTAGCTGTGCATACATATTCCATTGCTGCACACACGGACTTTGATCTCTCGCACACACCCTTTCAAGATGTCACAAACGCTTGGATGTTACACACACTCAGCCAGTTACACAAACACACCCGTGCAGATGTTACTCATAATTTCTCAGATGTCACTCACACTCACTCAGATGTCCCAGGACTCGGTCATAGGGTTGACACACTGGTTCTGTCCCACTTCACGGTGTTTTAAGTGCTATTGGTTACAGAAGATCAAGCCCACTCAAACCAGCTTAGTCAAGAGATTTGTTGGGAAGATTAAAGCCATGTCGTAGAACACTGATGGGAATCACTGCCAGGTCTGCTGAGCGAGTCAGGGGCCAGGGTGGGACTTGTTCTGGAGAGTAATGTCAGCATAGACACTCTGGTTTTGTACTCTGCCTTTGTGAGGGCACAGTTCACCCTTATGCTTCTCCTCTGGTCAATTTTATTGTCATTGCTTTTATTCAGCTCACCATAGATTGTCCTACATGTTCACTTTTTAAACACTGACATAATGGAACATAGTTATCTCTGTTCTCAGAGAACTGTCATGTGTTGCTCATTGGTCTTTCATTTTATACTTTCAAAATCAACTTTATGTGATTTCTTTTTCCACCAGAATACACAAGTTTTCATCGAGGAAAATTAGAGAAAAATAAGATCTATTGTTAGTGCCACTCAGAGATAACTGGGAGTGGGGGTGGGGAGTTGGAGACAGGTCTCAGCAGTAAAGCGTACTTGTTGCTCTTCCAGAAGACCTGAGTTTTGTTTCCAGCATCTACACTGGTGACTCACAAACACCTGTAACTGAAGCTCCAAGGCACCCATGCCCATTTCTGGCCTCTGTGGACACCCACACTCATACACACATAACCCAACACACACACACACACACACACACACACACACACACACACTCACATGCTTGCACCTACCCACATGTAGTTAAATATAAACTAATTCTTAGGAAAATAAGATTACTTACACAAAAGTTTGTTTTCCCTCTCAGATTCATTTGTTTGTGGTTATTTTTAGCATTGTGTTAATACAAA